CCCTGCCCTGCTTTTTTGCAGCCCGAAACGGGCGCTTGCTTCAGTGTCACATTTCTTTCTCCCCCCCAGTACAGAATCCGGCCGGTCTTGTAAGGCAGGCAGCCCGGATGGGCAGCAGAGTGGGGGAAAACGAACTCCGGGCGCCCATCCCCGGCACAAAGCGGGGGGATCGGCCGAAGTTCGGAAGCCGACTTCCTGATGCGGAAAGGATTCGGTCCCAACCAGCGCTTCCAGTCCGCTCAGCAGGTTTTCCTAGGTTTGTGTTTGGTACCACCTGCCAGCTGGCAGTCCAGAAACGGAGGGAGTGAAAGGAGTAGAGCAGTGGTGTCCAATCTTGGCCCTCCAGATGTTCTTGGACTTCAACTCCCAGAAATCCTGGCCAGCAGAGGTGGTGGTGAAGGCTTCTGGGAGCTGTAGTCTAAGAACATCTGGAGGCGTCCGCTCAGCAGGTTTTCCTAGGTTTGTGTTTGGTACCACCTGCCAGCTGGCAGTCCAGAAACGGAGGGAGTGAAAGGAGTAGAGCAGTGGTGTCCAATCTTGGCCCTCCAGATGTTCTTGGACTTCAACTCCCAGAAATCCTGGCCAGCAGAGGTGGTGGTGAAGGCTTCTGGGAGCTGTAGTCTAAGAACACCTGGAGGCCCAAGGTTGGACACCACTGGAGTAGAGTGTTGTAGTGGATCCAGGGATGGTGGGGCTGAAACACCAAGATTTTTTTTTCGTTCTTGTTGGGAAGGTCAATGAGGTTATCATGCACTACCCTTTGCTTAGGGCTAATGTAAAAGAAGGTCCTTTTATTCTCCAGCATTGTTACACCTACAGACCAGCGGGATTGGATAAATCGGCTCAAAATGCCATGTGATTGGTTTGGAGAACAGGGGCCACTTCTAATGCAAGAGTTATTGCAATTGTTTTTTTTTAATGTTTCTATTTTTTATTTCTGTTTTACGAGCTGTTACTCGCACAAAGCAATGTTGTGGCAAGAATGGGACACAAATAAAATGAATAAACAAATAAAGAGTTGACTGCCTGCCCACAAACCAAGGCAAAATGCAGTGGCACCTTTAAGACCAACACATTTATTTCAGTCTGAGCTTTCACAGATAGATTATAGCCCATTTCTTCAAAGACATGAAATCCAATGCAGTATTTGGGTCACGGTTTATCTACATAATCAGGCAAAATCCAAAGAAACAAACCCAAACGTTGGATTTTGCCTGATATGCTTGCACAAAGTAACACGGCTACCTCTTCTAGGTTTAACTACAGTGTCATCTTGTGTATAAATGTGTGGCCCATATACAGTATTATATACCACGCTGTGGCCCAGTTTCACACTGCATATGAACGATGTAGTTGAGGATGAAGTCAACTGTAACCCCTGAAGGTTGCCAATTCAATAAATGAAATCTGCTAGTCCTAAAAGTCTAGATAACTTGCGCTGGATTATGGAGAAAGCCAGAGAGTTCCAGAAAAATATCTACTTCTGCTTCATTGACTATGCGAAAGCCTTTGACTGTGTGGACCACAGCAAACTAAGGCAAGTTCTTAAAGAAATGGGAGTGCCTGATCACCTTATTTATCTCCTGAGAAATCTATATGTGGGACAGGAAGCAACAGTTAGAACTGGATATGGAACAACGGATTGGGTCAAAATTGGGAAAGGAGTACGACAAGGCTGTATATTGTCCCCCGGCTTATTTAATTTATATGCGGAATACATCATGCGGAAGGCTGAACTGGAGGAATCCCAAGCCGGAATTAAGATTGCCGGAAGAAATATCAACAACCTCCGATATGCAGATGATGACACTCTGATGGCAGAAAGTGAGGAGGAATTAAAGAAACTCTTTATGAGCATGAAAGAGGAGAGCACCAAAAATGGTCTGAAGCTCAGCATTAAAAAAAAAAACACGAAGATCATGGCTGCCCTATGTAAAGAAGGCCGAATTTCTGAAAGGATGTAACTGTAAGGATGTAACTCCACTAAACTTTTAGCCAGTCTTGAAATGTCAACCTGTTTTAAAAAAAAACTATGGAGATTTTAGGCTCCCTCCACTGCCATATGAGAGCCAGCATGTTTAGTGTGTGGGGCTAGGGAATCGTGGATCACCCGTTGGATGGATGATCACATGCTTTAGGGAAGAGGGGAAGCTCTGGAAAGCTCCCAAAGAGTGTCAGCACAGGCACAAAGGAAATCCCATATAGGTGAATCAAGAGACCAGGAAGAACCAGCCATACATTCCCAGTGTGATGTAGTGGGTGGACTAGGACTCTGGAGGATGGGATTCAAGCCCCCCATTTGGCCATGGAAAGTCCTTGGGAGAGTGGAACTGGTAAAACCACGCTTTAAATATCTCACTTACCCGGAAAACCCTATTGGGGTCTATATGTAAGTTGGTTCTGGCTTATGGCACAGAACACACAATGTATAAATAGGCAGCCAGTATTCTGCCCAACGGCTTACTAAAATATATATACCTGACCCTGAAACACTCTGGCCTCCAAAAAATTTTCATGAAGAAATGTAAGATACCCAGTGTGGAATAGTAGATAAAGTGACAACATAACACTCGGGTTCAAATTCCCACTCAGCTGTGGGAACTCATGGCGGGCAGGTGAGTAGAAATGGTAAAACTACTCATCACTCAGAAAGCCTTTGTGATGAGGATGATGCGCCATCCGTCAATTCTGGCCTATGGAGACCCTTTTCAGGGTTTTCCAGGTAGAGAGTACTCAGAAATGGTTTACTGCGCCCTTCTTCTTGGGGGAGGAGGCATCCTGGGACTGAGCAGTTTACCCAAGCAGGCATGGTGGGAAATCAAGCTCCAATCCACCGAGCTACTGAAAGCCCTGTTAAGAGCAGCGGTGGGGGAGGGGGCATCCTGGGACTGAGCAGTTTACCCAGGCAGGCATGGTGGGAAAAAAAGCTCCAATCCACCGAGCTATCCAGCAAGCTACTGAAAGCCCTGTTAAGAGCAGCGGCCAGTCAGTCCCAACTTGACCGTACAAAACAAGGAAAAGTAACACACATGAATGATTCTTCATATATGGGGTAGAGGGCCGCTGTATTAACCTGCTGTGGCAAAACTAAGGACGTTTCCATGTTCTTCTGATGTATCCAAAGCTCAGGCCAAATAAGATTTCTTGTTAAGATGGCAGATGATTCTTTGTGGCATTTAGATCAGCGATTTAGAACACTCCCGGGCTCTGAACTCAGCCACCCCCTAGTGTCTGTATACCCAAGGCCCTAAAAATATAACAGCAATGTTGAACGAGTATGGCTGTATGTGCGAATCTGTACAGGGCTGGGTGCTAAGCAGTGGCTGTTATGTGCTAGTCGCTGGTTGTTTAGGCTTATAGGATACCCACTCGACTGAGATTGGAACAACTCACAGAAGAGTGGGAGAATAAGCATCCGCAGAGCACCTGTCTCTCTATCAGGAACCTTTTACACATCAATCAATAACTTACTCATTTTGAAAATGATTACAGATCCTTATAACTTCCGCTGCACAAGAAGATATGTTAAATTGCAATGTAATGCCATTTAAAATTTGGCAACTACTACTCTTTCTAGATCGCCATTGTTTCTTTACCCCAGCTTCATTTTCACTCCATTCCTCTCTAGTCAGTCATTCGCTTCTGATCCAGGACTGTGACAGGGGTTACTATTTCTACACAGAGTGCATCATGTGCTGTTCACGTAGGGAAAGGAGCATGGCAAAATACAAGTAATGTAATGGTGAAGTCCCAGGGTCTGAAGAAGTGGACTTTGTCCTTGAAAGCTCACATTAAATATAGCCTTTAAGATGCAACCTTGTTTTTGTCTTTTTGTTTTGTTTTTGCCTGACACACTTAGCCCAGACTGACACCTAGCTCTTCTAAAAATTCAAAATGCTTATAATTCTTAAGCAAGCCAAACCTCTTAACATGGATCCATGTTGTGCATTCAAAAATTACATCCTGAATGTTCCAGTGGGCATTTTTATAAAGTTACTTGATTGGGTTTAATATTGGTAAGAAAAAGTACAATTCTGAACTATATCCAGTGCAGTTCAAAATACTTTAGCACACAGGGCAGCATGGTTTCAGAATTTTAATTTGTATGAACAAAAACAAATATGCTCCAATACCCTGGGGCTATTTCTGCCCTGTATGACTGAATTTTGTGGGAATAATTATTGTAACATTTTGAATATTTAGCATTGAAATAACTGTCCCTTCTGGTTATATGAGAAGTTTGATGGATATACACTTTGGTAAGGATGTGTTATTTTTGTTGAGTCCAAGTATAACATTTCTCACATCTGTCTCTTCCCTAAAACATCACAAACTCTGCCAATTCTCTGTTTTTAAAGCAGCTCCTGTTTTATTGCTAGCAATATTGTCAGTTGGATGGTGTACTTCGAAGCATAGGTACCAGCCGTTGTATGGAAACAAAATATTCTTGCTTTTCATCTGCTGAACAAGTCCATGTACAATCAATATTTTGGTCGTCTATTTCAGTTTCATGCCCATTGTTACTTTAAAGCACTAATTCTAACTTTGGAATACAGTCTGTACAATTTAGAACACTCTCACATAATCGTTAAGTGACCGAATACTCTTTTCTTCAGTGTTTGTCTGGAACATACAATTGCAATTCTCTCAGTATTGAGCAAGAGGCACTAAATAAGAGACCCAAAGAGAAGTTAAACACAAGATTCATGCCAAATAATTAGTTAGCAATACCTACAAACTTAGGCACCCTCCATTGTTACTTCTACAGCTAAGAGACTGTCCCAAGTCGAAATGAAAAATATCTTTGTTACTATTCTTTCTACCCCAATACTATGTGGGTGATTTCTCAAGCCATTTACAACCATTAATACTTTTTGTTATTGTTCTTCACAGCATTGGTCAGATTTTTACATTTGTTGATGGGAGATAGCAGTGCAAACTCATTTTCAGAAATCCTATTGGGAAGACAAACGCTTCCAGGTTACATTGACTCTTAATCCATGAAAGTATAGTCTTTAAAAGGACAACACATGCAAACAGAACCTTGCAACAGTGTAATCAGTAGTAACAATTTAATAGGGCAAACCATTGCTTCAAATGGTAGCAGCTAGACTGCAATTCAGATTAGAATTTAAAAAAAAAGATTGCACAGAGCTAATTAATAACATTTTACTGTGGTATATTCAGATTTTTGTTTTCGCAAAGTAGTTGAAACATTAATGCAATTAAAAGAAATACTACATAAATCCTATCAGTATGGCTTTAGGTTAGTTTTTTAAAATTTCTTCTCCATAAAAAGCACAATACTGATCATGTTCAGGTAATGCCCATGGTCAGAGGCCCTAATGAAACACAGGCAAGCTCTAATTCCACGCAAACGATCAGACACACTCCAAGAATACTCCCATCTGCATAGTAAGACAATACATTTCTGCACAACTATCTCTTCCTTTCCTTTCCTTCCCTGACCTGTTCTTTGTGAAGAGCTACACTCAAAAGCTGAACATCCAAGACGTGGCACTTCTTGAAAAAGTTAGTGCTTTATGATCAACATGCTACAAGTGAAAAAGCAAGGGATTTGAAAAGTGTGAAAACAGTTGTTTTACAGGCTCAGGCAGAGGATGTGAAAAAGTGTGTAGAACTATATCCTGAGACCACGTGTATTAGATGACTTCAGCCTGAGCAACCGAGAGGTGACTGATATTGAATGAGCTGTCAAGAGGGGAAAAGGCACGTCCAAAATGTGTCTGCTTCTGTAACAAAATCTACCACTACTTGATGTTTACAATTTGTTTTACCTTTACATTGAAGTTAACTTTGGGAGTGTTTAGTCTACCCCACTGAAAACATAAATCAGATTCCACTTATGGAACACTCGCAAATGGGAATATCTGGGGAAAAAACAACAGACAATGCTCTTTAACTTCTAAATACACTGGTATCAAATGTACTCATAAGAGTTCTTAAAGGGGCTGTTGTGTTTTTTTTCTCTCTCTCTCTACAGGCCCTTACCTGGACCAAACAGAAAGAACCAGGTTATTTTCTAGCTGTCTCAACTGACAGACTCAAAGGTAGGTGCCCAACATGACGGTAAAAACACTACTCAGCTAACCATGCACCTTTGACTTCAACTGACAGGAAAACGTTAATGAACTCTCACACACATCCAAACCTGGCAATTTCTAGAAAACTGAAAATTAAGGAAATGTTTATACTTCTATGTAAATAATGATAATGTGCTCCATTACATTAAGTGGAAGTTTTACCACTGAGGTGAATAAGGAAAGGTTTACATTCAGAGTAAGTGCTGTGCATACTGATACAAACAAAAGGGAATGTTTTATATCTACATACACATGCCAACATACAGTATATGTAGACATGGAAAGCTTGGACCTTTAAAGACTCATTCACTTTTCTCACTCCATCGCTATAAGCAATCTGTGACATGTTTGGGGTGAATAACACAGTGAACAGATGGGGGAAGTACAAACTTATAAAGAATGCATTTGGATAGGGATGGGGCCCCAATCCAGACACACACTTGTATACCCAAGACAACTGGCATATAATTTATTTTGCAGTTTGAGCAGTAAACCTGCACGGGTGCGGGAACTGGTCACGAGCATTCTTGTGGTGTATCTGGGGGGAGATCTAGAATGACTCACATGTGGGGATCTTTCCACACAGATTCCCTTTGAAGGGATTCTATGGGGTAACCGTTTCTAGCACCCACAATATTTAACAGGGAGCCTGCACTTAAACATTTTTAGCCTAAGCATATGATATGAAAGGGTTGAAAATTCAACTTGGCAACCCAAATTCTATCCCTTGATAGGTTTTAGCTCAAATTCTCACCAGAGGTGAAATATTCAATTCCCCACCCCGAGTCTGAAGTCTTAGAATCAATCCTGCTGTATCTTCTCAAACATTTATTAAAGACAGGAAATGCTATCTTTAAGACAGCAATATAAAGCAGGACATAATACAGAAGTCTGAATATCTATGGCCAAACTGATACATTTAATCAACAGATTTAGGGTCAAACTGGACTCCCATGTCCCATCTATACCACAGACTGCCTGTAACCTACACAGATTTTTCCAGAAAGTACATTCTTGTTTTGCATGAAGACGTTTCCAAACATAGTCTAAAAAGCAGCATAATTCCCATTAGTATTCACTGTCAGTCACAACAAATTCAAAATATTATGTTCACTTTCGTTAAAGTGACTGTCAGAAATAACATACCTTGAAATATATAGCTGGTCATTGTAAATCATGAGATTACATTCTCAGGGACATGCCATTTTCTGAAGTAAAGTTGCATAAAAACACACAAGTCCACTCACACCCCAATTACAAGGAAAGGAATCTTAGCAGAGTATCAGCCATTATATATGAGCTTTCAGTCATAACATACGAGAAACTTCTTTTATTACTCACACTTTTTCTATAGGTATAATTCAGTTATACTACATCTCATCTAAAGATATGCACTCAAAAATATAACCGAGGTTAATTAATTGCAGTCACACATCTGAAGCACATAGAAAACTTGGTTGTGTCCTTTGATACTGTTTTCAAAGCTTTATTCACTCTCTTGGATAACTATAAATAAGTGTTTCCACTATGGAAAACAAAGTTTAGCACAGTACATTTTCATGACTGGGGAATGAATTTTTTTCTGAACGTCTCTTCAAAAAGGGCAAAAGCTTAGAAAAAAAATTGAATGTTGGAATACAGTTCTTTATAAAGTCCCTTGTAAAAATTAAAAAAAGAAAAAAAGAAAAATACAAGGCGCAAGATGATTTATTGCTTTTCTTCAGTTTCTTCCTTGACTTCTTTCTTCTCAGATTCTTTGCTTTCCTCCTTTACAGAAAGTTCTTCTAATTTCTCGGCAACTTTATCAGCACTATCATTTTTGTCAGCTCCTGCTAAAAAATGTTTTAAGACAACATTAGAGTACAGAGTGTAATAAGTGTCAATAGGAAATAAATGATGGGCTGGAATTGGATTGCTAGTATTCAACCTTTCCTCCCTGCCTAGTTTTGAAAAGCTTTTACATTTCCATCTCATATACTTGAGGGGGCTATTGTTACACAATGCCATATCTCCACACTTTACATATTCGTTCCTATGTTTCTTGGAGGAAAGGATGTAGATACTGAGGATAGGAAAGAGACAACTGCTTTAGCCTACAAAGGGAGGACAAACTTTTAAAAAGCTGCCTTAAGACCCTGCTGAATGCAGCACCACAAGTCACATTCACTGATAAAAGCAGATGCTATAATGATATGACCCAGGGCTCCATCACTGGCTTGTTTCAAAGCTTCTAACATCTTGCAGACAAGATCTAAAGATCAATCATAAGCAGCTGGATTTTTGAACACAGTTAAAAGGTTATATTACTTGATAACTATTAAGTTTCTGCCATCATAAATACTTCTCCCAACTTGTCCCCATGTTTACAACATGCATTGCATGAAGCATGACAAAGACTGATAAGCTACCGTGTTTTCCTGAAAATAAGACAGGGTCTTATATTAATTTTTGCTCCAAAAACGCATTAGGGCTTATTTTCAGGGGATGTTTTATATTTTTCATGTACAACAACCTATATTTATTCAAATACAGTCCTGTCATCTGCTTCCAGTCGCTGCACAATGGTGGAGGGCAGGGTTTCACTTAACTGGGGCTTATTTTTGGGGTAGGGCTTATATTACGAGCATCCTGAAAAATTATACTAGAGCTTATTTTCAGGTTAGCTCTTATTTTAGGGGAAACAGGGTATTTCTTTAAATTATTACATATACGACTCATACAAACCTATGAACAACACAAACAACCTATGTCTAAACGGTTCTTTAGATAATATTGAAGAGAGCTACTTGATCCTTATACAATACAATAGAGAAGTAGGTCACACCTTTATCAGACCACTAAAAAAATACAATCTGCTAGCTTTTGTGGATCAAAGCTTCAGGCACAGTCCAGTCTTGTGCAGCTTGTGCTTATCTTAATTTACCTCTAAGAAACAAGACAGGCACAACAAACTGAGATTAACTTTTGGGACTGTAATTTCTGTGCAGCAGGCCAGGTAGGTGGGGCTCGTCAGCCTGAGGAGGCAGCCCATCTAGGAGAAGGAAACCTTCAATTTCAAACCCCTGCTGCCTTGTGGCTATATCCACTGATGGAAAAGGCTTAGGAGTTAACCTTGAGGCAAAATCCGGATCCGGTGTCGTTCTGTCAACTCCTGCGACATTGCTGGAACCAGTTGTATTGGCTCTTGCTTTTCCATTGGACCATTTCAGTGACGTGGAGTGGGGGGAATTTGCTGCTTGGGAATTTGCTGCTTGCCTATCCTCTATATTATTTTACCCAGGCTTCATGCTCTGGAGAGGACACTCCAGTTCCTCCATACAGAGCACATTACCATAGTCTCTTGAAACTGAAGGATGCCTAAGAAGGTCAACAAGACACTGGTGCATGTCTGAAGAAGCGGACTTTGTTCCACGAAAGCTAGCAGATTGTATTAGGCTTGCATGTCTAACTGTAAGAACTTCTCAACAATCCCAGACATTACAAGTGATGTGCCAAGAAGAGTTGAAACATGAGTTCCACAATCAGGGATATGTTCACGACATCCTGGATTGTTACTATAGCAGACTTAAAAAGCACCTTGACTGAATATTGCAGTCAGGCACAGAGTGAGCCTGCCAACAAGCATAAGAACAATTAGTGATTGCAAACACATTAGAGCTAATAAGAAAAAGTTACAAAGCCATTTAACATTGCATGGCTCTCAGCCATAAGGCTGCAAGTTTCCACACCACTATGCTATTTTCTTGTAGATGGGGTAAATAGACTTCAACATGATGACAGATGACAAGTGAAGCTGAGAATCACTGATCACGTGGACAGCATGTGTGACAGCGCACTTGCAATAATTAACTTGTGGGTGATGGCAATACAAGAAGGCAGGTGACAAATGCATCAGCACCTACACCAGCTGGACTGTCCCTTATCCCTTCCATACACTAGGCTATCTACCAACTGATCTGTAGGAAGGATTCAGATGGAGAGCCAAGCTACCTTAGAGCCAGTCACAGCTGGAATATCCCTCCTACTCATCACAGTCATTCCTATCACCAATAGGAAGTCCCTATGAAATAAACATTGAGTGTTTTATGTGCTTTGATGCTCGTTCTAACATGCACCAGAAAAGTATATATACAGACATTTCTAAGGAATAAATACAAACTGGCAACTGAGATGAAACACTGAAACACCCCCTAACAAGTATCAAAAAGCAGGGAGCCTCATTCCCTAGGTTTAGAAATGACTAACAGTGAAATATTTCTATTGTTACTTTTTTCACACAGGCAAAAAGAAAGCACAGCAAGCATGAGGACTGAGCAGCCTTTAAATATAATGATTTTATAGGCAAGACAAAAATGGACCTACGATCAAGCAAGAGGTCAGCATCTAACGAAGTGCAATAGAACATCTTCTACAATCCAGGGTTGTAGCATTAGTCTTCCAGGTTACATACCACTGGACAGACACATATGTAAATTCCATGAGGCTTCTTGGCAAAAATACCATGCATCTTGTTTCAATTTCCCACTGTTCTGAGAAACATCTTTTTTCTTGCCATATAATAATTTTGTGGCCAAAATCCTATTGTGTACATTACACCCGTGGAGGGGTGATGACACCATCATCATAGGAAGAATAGTGTTACTAGAAATACCCTTAATCTCTTATACATATGGAAAGTTATTTAAGAATATAACCCAAAATGCTTGTTACTTTGAATGGACTTTGTAGAAACATGTTAAAGTCTCTTGATTGTGGTACTGCCTTACTGAAAAGAGAAGAACCAATCAGAAGTCTTACCTTTCTTTAACTTCTTATCAATCTCATTCCTACATTCTTCAAATTTCGCCTTGAATTTTTGTGCATCTGTTTAAGAAAGCAAAATATAACACTTAAAAACAGCATTTCTCTCTAACCCGTACATGTTAGTAAATGCTAACTCTCTTTATATCTAATCAGTTAAATAATTTAGTCAGATTTACATATAAAGTCCAGAGAATATAAAATTTCATTACACTTATTCACTCTTTTCAATGTAAAACAGTATAGTATGAATACTGGAGCTTACAGTGACACACTCATTTTATGTGGTACAAGGGGAACATCCGGGAACATCAGAGGATGGTCTGTTCCTCCTCATTCACTCCAATACACAAGCTAGACTGACCATTCAGAAATGACAGAGTGCCCTCCAGAGGAGAGTAACCTGAACCAACCAATCTTGTACCGGTGAAGACAACAAAGGGAAATATAATTCTGCCTGAGACAGGGGTCCGCTTTCTGGGACACCTTCTTAGTAAAGAAAAGGGACAGCTGTTTTCTTCCCTCAGGCACTGGGTTATACTGGCTAAGGTGGGGGAAGAGATTATGGTATGACCAAAAGGATGGAGCTAAGGCAAGAACTAGACTGGAGTCCAAGTTCAAGTTGATCCTTTCTAGAGGGCACTGTCTCACTTTAACTGACCAATCTAGCCTGCCTATTAGATCAAATGGGAATATATATGCCCTCCACTACTAACCACCTACTATACAATAGTGCCACTGTAATATTTTGTGTAGTGGGATATAGAAGGAGCCTCCATGAAGGCTGGAAAGCACAGCAAATACTCTTGGGTGTCCCTTAGGCAACAGCCAATCTTTCACTGCCAGAAGTGTTGCATTATAATCTTATTGACGAGCAGAATCACCCAATGATCCTTTTTTAGAACCACCCATGACAATAATTTCTAACGTTTTGTTTTTACCCGTATTTCATATATGTCCATAACTTTAAACTGTACAACACTTCGATAAGAATAAAGACTGGTTTGTTGCATGTTATGTGCTTTAGCTTTATGAACTCTTTTTAAATTAAATGTACTATATAAAATTTGCTCAAAAATAAACAAATAACAACTTGATATAGTGGAGACCTACATAATTAGGAGTGCCTAACAACTACATTTTCAACATTAAGATTCAAGTATCAGTGTCACTTGCATTATATATGCTATACTGAGTTAGAAAATAGTCACTTGGGGTCACTGTTTTTCAGTATTAAAACAGGTATCCTATGTTCTGTTATGTTCCATTCATCTGGAGGGGGAAAAGATGCTGTTTCTGTTTCTTAAAGTAAACAGCCAGAAACAGTTAATAGAAGAGTTTATTCAAAAGCTCATATTTTGCTTGTTTTCCACCTCTCCCAAGTCTTACGTAAATGTTTTTATAATGCAAGAATAAGGCTATACAGCATACTCCATGCAACAGGTAATTATGTATCTCACTAGTACAAAACAAAAATGTAGCATTCCAGACTGCGATTCAGTACTTGAATTTGTGGATTTAGCAACAGCTAGGATGCAGAAGGGCAGGAAACAGCTACTAACACAAATACTTTGTTTCCACTGATAAAGAGGAGAGAAATATTTCCAAAGAGTGATAAATTAAAAGCAAATATGGTGGAGAAATGAGCCACTAAAATTACTACTCTCCTTTTCCCACTACATAACAAAGAAATTATGATGGGTGTCATTAAGTATATACTTTTAAGTTTCAACTGTCTACAATTTTTGGGTTGGAAATACACCCCTTTCCTGTTGCCAGAGTCAAACATGTCCAGCAAATTATTAATCGAGTATGGAAACAGAGGACTGCTCATTGCATAGTTACCACAAAATTAAAACAACAATATAAAATTTATGCATGCATCTCACCAGATTTGCACAAAGAAATGTTTAAGTTTAAATTTTAGCTTACTTTCTGCATTTAAAAACCGAATTGCCAGAAGTTCTGGTTTAGGACTCTCATCAGCAAAATCAGCATGTGTATTCCACACCCATGCCCTGTCACTGCCAGCATTAGGCTTCAGTTCCATTACGGGTGTAACTAGAAGCAAAAGATGAGGAACAAAGAAATAATGGCTAGCCACAAGTAATATTGTAGAAAAACAATGCAGCTTCTTGTCTTGTCTCAAAATATTACTGCATTAGTAACATGTAAGATTATTTTAAAATGATATTTTACTATAAATCTCCAAAATAGCTGGGCAATTATTTAGACAAGTATCATCCACAATTAAGATTAGGGCCATTGGCTTTAAGCTTGTTTTCTGACAGCTGTTGCACACTGCATCTCATATTTTTCATGGTACTTTCTCAATGATTCAACCACAAATGGGTTTTCTCTCTCTTTCAGAATGTGGTCCAGCTGCCCTGATTCAAGCCACTCTCATGTTTTTGTGGTTCACGGCTCTGCTTCTGGCACACTGTGATCTAGATCAATCTCTTGGGAACTGTAGGGATCTTCAGGGCTTTGTGCAACAAACATAGATAGATTATATAGTTTTCCAAGTCCTTTCCAGCTCCATTTCTGTAAATATTCTAGACATTAGCTGCATGCGTATGCAGACTCTTTAATGCAGAGCAGGCCTTTCAGCACCTTTGATATTAGGAATACATTGCAGAGGTTTGTTCCCAACTTGCAAATATAAATGCTTTATGGTCATACCTAAGATGTTTTCTCCCTATTGTTACTGTATATTTTGTTTCTAATGTCACAAAACCAAAGAGGCGTCTTAATAGTTATGCTATACTAGGATAGTGGACAGAATCACATACTATAATGATTTGCACAGATTTTTAGGGTTTTATCCCTCCTCATCAAGAGGCGAATGGTCCCCTTTTCTTTGTGCTTTAGAAGTTTTACATCACCAGTGCCCCGTTCTTTCCATTCTGGAAGATCATTTTCTGAGGCAAATCGGAACAGTTTTGCCCGCCTTCAGAAAGAGAAAAAGAAAGAAATCAGTTTACACGTAGGACTTTATAATACACATTACACTGAATCATGAGCTTTTAGCATTAATGTAACAGTTAAACTAATAACCCCCATCCCAATACTATTCCCCCCCCCTTGCTATATATATCATACAGCACGGGTCCCCAACCCCTGCTCCGCCGCCTGGTACTGGGCCGTGGCCTTGGCAGGACCAGGCCGCGGAGACAGATCTCCCCCTCGCCCACACAGACACATGGACACCCCCCCTCATGCACATATGAACGCCCCCCCTCGCAGGCACGGATGATCCCTCACCGGCCACACACGCTTACCCTCACCCACACAGACACCCCCCGCATGCACATATGAACGCCCCTCCTCGCAGGCATGGATGATCCCTCACCGGCCACACACGCTTAACTGGTCCACAGTGCCAAAAAGGTTGGGGATCACTGACATACAGGATATGTGGGGGCTATAACAACTTTTACTGAGATACCAGTATTAGATTTATATTTAGTAAAGATGCACAAGAAGGAAATGCTGCTGAAACAAGACGGCCTTACAACTGCTTTGTGGTTTTCATCTACCTGATAGGTTTTACAGAACAAAACCATAAATTGCTGGATGCATTACTCCTAATGCTCAGCATTTTACAATTCAAATTCTTAGACAAGAATTTCAGATACCTGTATTTTCAGATGTTAGGTGAACTGAGACCTCTTTTAGGCAGATCTTGACGAGAGAATTAAGTCTATCTTAGCTATCAAATGCAGACAGATCAGGAAATCTCCTCCAAAGACAGGTATTTTTGCTGTACCTCTGAAGTGGCAGAATCAATCCAATCTAGAGAAGAGGCAGGACTACCCACTCTCAAAGCAGAAGGAGCCACTGCTCAAACAGTGAATCAAACAATGATATGGTAGGTAACCTCCTATATAGATGAATTATTTGGGTTCACAGAATCATGTTTTAATGCATGTTCAATGTAGTTCACTCATGTGACTTAACCCAGACTATAACAGACCATAATAATTCTACTTACATCTTGAAGAGTTCTTCCTCATCTTCCTCAAGAGTTTTGATTTCTTGCTCAGGAAGAGAAACTATGGGCTCAAATTGAGGGTCATGGTTAGAATCATCAACATTGTCAGTTGTTGAGTCATGTTCCTCATGTGTGTCCTGCAGAGAGTTACAAGAAACCTAAGGTGTGTTAATCTGCTAAGGGATTATTACATTTAATTGCCCTGAAGGAACTAACCCAATTATCTCCAAAAACAATAAAATAAAAAAGTATAAATTCACACACTTTATTCAGTAGTGATGTCCAATACTGAATAATTGTATATCTCAAATATTTGGGATTCAACATATTACCTCTGAATTAAAGACATTCAGTTTACTTGCCATGGCCATTGACAGTTTTATCTTCCATCAACACACCCAAGCTGTTTTAAAAATAACCTATGCTAGTAATCAATATTTTATCTAAGGGCAGTTAATTTCACAGTTTAATGAACAACACCTTTGATCTTGTCCCAAATTTACTACTAATAAATTTCATCACAGCAGGCTTGAGTTCTATTAACTTATTTATTTGCTTGCATTCTTACCTCCTGCACTAAGCCTAGGTAGAAGATAAGAATAAAGCACTTTACCATACAAAGCAAAATTTAAAAATGCAAAGATACAGAATAAGGCAATTCTTTAAAAACTTGGGAAAATAGAAGACTGCATTCTTTAGACGGCATGCCTCAAACAGGATGCTACATCTGAAAAGGCACTCTTGTAGGCACATACTCTACATCATTTTGTGGGATAGTAAGATGGTATGATAGCTTTATCCACTTTTTTGTAATATCCATACCTTCAAAACATTCTGTCCTTTAACAATGATACTTAATAATGTGAATGCAAACAGGATGTTTGCATTCAGACTACACATTGTGCTAGTCTATTTCCAACTATTTCCTATAGTGGGTATCAGAAATAACAAAAAACTCAAAAGGTAGCATTGGAAACAATGCCTGTCTGTTTCCATATAGAATCCTGCATGCTTTAAGGTACATTGCTGCTTATTAATCTGAATGAGATCAGTTTCTACAATACAGTACCTGAAGTTAACAGAATGCAGCCAAAACATTAAACTAATACCTTTTGCATTCTGCAGGTTAGGACTGAGGTGGGAGAAGAACAAATTTTGATTCCTGCAACAAACTTCAAGTAAGTTGGAATGTAGTGCTCAATGGTAATGCAACATATTTTAAAAAACTTAATTAGTGTATCCAGTTCTACTCGAATGCCAGCATGTCTGAAGTGGACAGTAGCAGGCATCTAACAAAAATAAGACAACAGGTCTTGAAACCTAAAACTCTAAATTTGCAAGGATATGTCTTTACTTCAGACAAATGTATGCATAATAGTAGGCTGTAAGGTAAAGGTTCCCCTTGACAATTTTTGTCCAGTCCTAAAACTCTAAATTTACAAGGATATCTCTTTACTTCAGACAAGTGTATGCATAATAGTAGGCTGTACCAATGAATTACTTTTGAAAAATGTGATCTTGTGTACTGTAAAAACTAATAACTTGTAGCATAAAACTAGAGTTCAATCTGTCAGATACACAAAAAGTTTCGCTTTAACTAGCTGATATGTATAAAATGAAATACAAAAACATCCCCTCTTCAGGAGGAAAATATTTACAAAGAGATATATTTGCATACAAAAACACATTAAGTAAACATTTTACAAATCTGATTAAATGTGATCTGGGTCACATGGCTCCACATATTCTTCTATGTACTGTAGCAAATTAAAGCTGCAATGTTGAGAGAAAACCGAAACAAAATTTTGTAACTTAATTAGAAGTAGAACTCAGGACTGTGCTATAACTATCTCAATATAATTAAGAAAATGTAGAGACTTAATCTTACTAGATTGAATCTCTACATCCAGTAATTAGGAATTCTGTTAGGATGAAATCGCATCTGCTGCTGTATCATTCCTTCCCCCCACTTTTGCCTGGAGTTACTTGTTGGGGGGGGGGAACCAACCAAGCCTAGAAGACAACAGGCATGGCTTCTAATAAGGGTGCTCTTTGGAAGGTGATTTCATTGGAATTCAGCTAAGATTTACATCCAAGCAAGATGTAAGTAGGACCAAGGCATATACTAAAACTGGGGGTAGCCCCCTATGGTTTCACTCCGATCTGGGTGGTTATAAACCATATTTGAAGCAGAATTTTGGTGACACTTCTGCAGAATGGCCACAACTACAATCTCTAGAGAAAGAACTAGATTTTCTGGGGAAAGAAAATTACTGTATGTGTGTTTAAACAAGATAATGAAAATGCCCCAGTCAAGTTATATTTATTATTTTTAAAAATCCTAACCACCTTAAGGGTCAAAAAGTTGGTCAGAAATCAAATTAAAGCAATCATCTACACACGCACACCCCTATCCTTATAAATGGGCTTATATACAGTATATATATTCTGGACAAAATAAGATCCACACCTGCCCTCTCGCGGGCAAATCCAACCTTCTGCCCTGGGAAGGTAACTCCCAAGGAAGTAAGAATTAAGGCTTGTAGCCTCAGGGGCATAATGGGGAAATCAACCGACAACGGGGAGAAGGCGAGGTGCCTTGCTTCTTCCTCTGCTCCAGGCTTCCTTCCCTTGCTGTCAAATAAATCTCTAAGGGAGTATTTTTTAATGGGGGGGGGAGAAAGAGGTAACTCCCAAGGAAGTAAGAATTAAGGCTTGTAGCCTCAGGGGCATAATGGGGAAATCAACCGACAACGGGGAGAAGGCGAGGTGCCTTGCTTCTTCCTCTGCTCCAGGCTTCCTTCCCTTGCTGTCAAATAAATCTCTAAGGGAGTATTTTTTAATGGGGGGGGGAGAAAGGGGAACCGACGACACGGGTGCCCTCAGCCCCGCCATGCGCGCGATTCCCCCCCCCCCCGCCCCGAAAGGCC